CTCTGTTCCCGCCCCGTGTCCTCTGTTCCCGCCCCGTGTCCTCTGTTTCCGCCCCGTGTCCTCTGTTTCCGCCCCTGTGCCCTCTGTACCCACCTCCCGTGTCCTCTGTTCCCGCCCCGTGTCCTCTGTTCTCGCCACGTGTCCTCTGTTTCCGCCCCCTTGTCCTCTGCACCTGTGCCCTCTGTTCCCTCTGTACCCACCCCGCATCCTCTGTACCCGCCCCGCGTCCTCTGTACCCGCCCCGTGTCCTCTCTTCCCGCCCCCGTGCCCTCTGTACCCTCCCTCATGCCATCTCCAACTGCAGTGGAGGTCTTGAAACGATCTGCAGAAATTGTATTCAATCTACAAACCACTATTAATTGCATGTTTCTGTTAGAAACAATCAAACTGTCAAATATTATAAATGGAATAGGACTTGTTTCAGGCCGTTGCCTTTAGTTTATTAGACTCATTGGTAATTTTTGAAGATTTGATCCAGCATTGGTCAGAGTCCCAATGGTCTGTCCATCAAGGTACAGTCTGTCATCAACAACGGTGCCGTGTAACGGGTCATTACTTCAGCTTCTTCAGGCTGGAAAGAAATCTCAAAAATATCTTTTGCTGTCTGTCACCACTTATACGTGTGTGAAACGACATACTAACTGTGTGTGTGTGTGTGTGTTCAGAGGGCGTCGAGGAGCCGGTGAAGCAGCTCTCCAGTCAGGACGGCGTGTTCTCCTATGAGTATCATCCCAACAGTCCTGGAAAATACACAGTGTCCATCACCTGGGGGGGTCAGCACATCCCGAAGAGGTGAGCAGGGGGCCTCTGTTACTTAACTCTGAACATGAGCTCATCTCCTCAGTTTGGATCTGCAGCGGAACGAGGACTTTGTCCTGCACCTCTCAGCAGACCGAGTATCTCCTTCTGTTTATCTGAATTAATTCAAAGACTTGAAGTTCCTGAGAAGCTTCAGAACCTGGAAGTGGTTGAAATAATCTGTACGTAAATCTTTACTAACACTGAGAAACACAGAACTGAACCGTTTATTCAGAACCTTCTCTTCTCAGTGACCTGAGTAGGTTCTCATAAAGTTTATAGTTAAGTGGTTCTTGCTTCATCAATTTAATTTGGCATCGTAGATCGTTTTTCTCTGCTTTGCAGATGAAGAATTGGGTGGAAAACGCCTCAAACCATTGATTCTTTGCAGCAGTTTTTACTGGGAATAAAATGTTTAATGGTAATTAACTTGTTAAACTCTGTGACAGCATCGAGTTGAAAACATAAATCTGGATGCTGAAACCACAGAGGAGCCCTCATGTTGCCTCCACAGATTCCACAAGAGTTATTTGGTACTAAAAACGGATCGTTCTCCTGCAGCTAGGTGACGGTAAAACAACTTTTTTCTGTTTTGTAGCTGAAACTTTATCCCTTGTTGTCTAAAATAAATCTTAGCTGCAGCCGTGGGAGTTGGGGGGGGAAACGGTGCAGTTAGAGGAGCAACGTTTTAAAACTGGCAGTAAAACTAGAAATAGGAGCTGCGTTTGTCTGAAGCGCAGGCAGAAAATCCCAACAGACACTTTTATTTGGTGTGAAGTTGTTTCCATCCGAGCGAAGCGCAGAACAACCGACACGCTCTCAGAGCCGCTTACCGCCGAATATCAGGTTACAATTTCAGGGATTTTGATTTGTGTGAGATCAGACGTCCACGTGTTTGAGTGCACACGCACACACACAGAACCACGTGTTTGGCATACAGAACATGTTTGAATACCACATCAGAATCCACAAACAGTTTCTTCTTTTGTCTTCATCAGTCCATTTGATGTGGTCGTCGGTCCGGAGGCGGGGCCTCAGCAGATCAGGGCCTGGGGTCCTGGTTTGGAGGGAGGCATTGTGGGTAAACCAGCCGCCTTTGTAGTCGAGTCCATCGGCACTGACGTCGGAGTTTTGGGTAAGTTGAAGGTTTTTGGTTTAGACTTGGTGAACATTTAAATATGAAGCCTAAAACGAGGGTCCTTCACTGGGCCGTGGGCCCGCAGGCCGACCCTAGAGCGCCCGCAGGCCGACCCTAGAGC